GCTGCCACTTTGAGACCAGTGGTCACCGCAGCGTCACAAACGACGCGGGCCACCCCGGCAAAAGTCGTAGAGACAACGAGGACAACCAAAGCTGCCTTAGCAGCTAGCACCCGCAAAGTCTCTGTCTACACGACGTGGGCTCCTCCATCGATTTCGTTCACAAATGAACCTGTTTCAATTCCAAAGATCCCCACTAAAGGTAAGAATGTCGATCTGAAGTCACTGCAGCTTGTGAGACTGAAACCTATTGCATGCAGGATGCATGGCGGATGTGATCTTCATCCTCGACGCTTCGGACAGCGTAAAGAAGGCGTTTCCAGAGCAGGTGAAATTAGTCGCCGATATCATTGATGATCTGAAAGTTGCCCCGAATGCTCAGCGCGTCGCTGCCATCGAATACAGCAGCGAAAACCTACAGAAAATTTTGTTTCCGTTCGATAAGTATATGACATCTGCTGCAGTTAAAGGTGCTGTAGAAAGTAAGTGCATTTTTCTAAATCTGACAGTAATTATTTTTGAATATGAGGCGAAGAGTAGCCATCGATGGTTATACACAGGAATAAAGAGTTGAAACTTTCTGGTTAACAATGCTTATCCAGTGAAAGAATAGTTTACAGCTAGTCGTGAAATTTGTCATGCAAGTTATCACGTCCAAGAACAATGTAGGCAGCATAAATTTCGTCACCATTTCATGTATATATTTCTTTATGACTCAAGGCTTGTTTCAAAAATGAGGACCGAGAAGCAATCTACGTGATACGTCCAAGGTTGGGGAACCTAATTGGCAAAGAACCTAGAAAACATTTCCTGGTTTAAGAAATTATTCCGTTTACAAGATATCATATCAATACGTCCTCAGGTTCCGCATTAGTAAGACTGAACATAGAGGAAGAACACGAATGAATGAATATCTAGCAACACTTACGTTATCCTACTTATGTCCCTCATTGGTACATCATGAGAGCAAGCCATCGCCTATTTAACACCCTCTGTCCTCCGCATACAGCGAAACTATATTTGCAATTCTTGACGTCCATTGGTCATCTCTCAGGGAAGCTCCAACGTCGGTCCATATTTTTTTCACGTCGTACAAGGCAAAAGTCACTTCTACTATTCCAGTCTGTCGTCGAATTTGCGAGCTCAGAATGTGATCGCGGAGGGACATCTAACGCATTCCTCACACAACGCTTTTCGCTTGACGATCAGTTTGTTTTCCTCAGCTTTAGTAGTAGACCAACGTCCAGCCTCATCGAACACGGAGGTAGGATCGATAGGGTCGTTAAATCGTAAAGTTCTTTCTTCGCCCTCAAAGCAGCTCATTGTAAAGTAGTGATATTTAAGTATGGCTAAAGCTGGCACATGCCACTTAACAGCACTTATGAGGAGAGAAAAGTCTTACTCTGCACTAACTGAATGTTCCATTGTGTAACAAAATAAAGAGCAGTGAAGTCAAAATATCATTTCCCTCTTAAGACAATGTAACGTTGGAAAAGTGCTGGATGAACAACTGCAAATTGGCAGCGCAGAAAATCATCAGAGATGTCAAATGCTATAACTTCTCTTCTCTAGTTAATAATCAGAAATGATTATGATGAGCTAATATGTCATAGAGTCGAAGGAACAACGTGTGCATTGTCATTTACCTCTTCTATGTATTTCATGAATAGGATATTTATCCTGATTTACTGAAGTAGTTATGTATGATTGCCTTTTCTCTACTTAGTTCCTCATCTTGTCACATCTACAGTAATTATATGTGACTGTTGTATATGCTTAGTTATGCACCCGTCAGTGCTCACTCCGGTTGATTGTTCTAATCCGCATTTTCGATCCATTATTTTGGACACCAAAATAATCTAAAAATTTAATTTACAACGAGTTTTCTCACTGTACAACCAACAGTATCATCGGATAAACAGTAAATATTAATGCTATATTAGAAGCAATTCTGAACAACTGCTTAAGTTCAACTGTGAATTTCACATTTTTGCCATTGAGGGGTGTCGGTAATCAAAACATCGTAAATTTGGTGTTATCATTGTGTTAATGTCTCAAGCCATAGATCAGTAGAAACTGAAATAGTTATGCGTATATGCCTTGCTTTATCATTTGTGTTAGAACACGGTGTATTTGTTTTGGTTTAACGTATGCAGGAATGATATTGGTTGAATCGAAATATTGCAGTGCATAACAGCCTGGAAGCAAACGCAAATTCATGGAATTCATCTTTATGATCAACCTTTGTGATTTACGATAACTGATATTGCCTGATATTAATTAATTACCTATAAATGTCAGGCATTAATTGTTTAAATGATCGAAAGTTGGGATATATTAATGGGCATTCTTTTACTTTTCCTAGACCAACACAGAAATAATTCATGTCCCAATATGCTCTGCTAGAGAATGGTTCCCATTTGTAGTATCAAGCAACCATAGACAGTAATGCAATTTTGCCGATGTACTGTTGTTGCGCAATCATTAACAATGGCTAGTAGAGCTTAAACAATCAAATGCTTAGGAAAACAGCTTTGCGGCAAGGTCATATTCCTCGTCGTCAGAGGGTCTGTCTCACTGATGTGTTTCCATGTGCTATACTGTTGTCCAACGTGTCAACGTCCAGTCTGCGGTTTCCATGTGAGAAAGGCTTTGAAAAGGTCCCTGATCTTTATTAAAGCTGTTTGAAAAAACCAAGTCAAGTGCAGGTCATTGAATACATCTGCTAGTTTTTAAAAACCGCTGGTAATCCGCACGTGATCGTTTATAATCTGGAAGTACCATTGCATTTTGAGAATATTTAGCAGACATCGTTGCTGGAATATGATAGAGCACTTTTGCTTACGATTCAGTCTATACTCAGTAGGTCCCAATTTCACTTCGATTTTTGGTTTTTGTCATCTTGGCATATGAAAAAACAAATTTTACTCTACAATCAAAATTATTGAAATAAAGTAGTAATAAATTGGAAACTTATAGGCACTTTTATGCTTCGAATTAGGAAAAGATATAAAATAAATTCTTTTCCCTTGGATGAAATCACCCATGGTATGTGCACTGATATGCAGCCACCATTTACATATGAAATGCAAACGATAATTTCCTCAAGCGTTCAGACACCAGAATCAGAATTAACGCCATTCGAATGTCTACCAAGGATTAGGTCAGTACCATCTTCCCTGTCTAGGAAGCTGGAAAATTGAGAAGAGCAGACACATAATTGTACAAAGCTTGCAATCGCAATGTTCCAGGCGTTAAGCTCTTTAACTGTGACATAACGTATCATGTTTCAAAATTTGATGAATCTTCATCAACGGAGTGATGTGGTGCATTTAATTAATCATATAGAAATTTGAAAGCATGCCGGTTCCTGCTGGATTCGATTTCATTGAGAGAAATATTATAAAACAGAATGTTTCGGCATACTTTGGAAGAGTCAGGTGCAAGCTTCACCATGAAGATCTAAGCTTCTGTAGTGGAAACTGTTTCGTAAGTTTATTTCACTGCAAACTTAGTTCCATAACAATATCTTCATTTTCATCTTCCATCGCCGCTTCTCCTTTCCGATCGCGGAGGCAGACACGTAAGTCAGATCTTCCAACGTTCCCGATCTTGTGCCAGAGTCTGAGCTTCGGCAAAAGACAAATGCAATCTGAAACAGACACCTTGCACATATTTGCACCAGGTTAATCTTGGCCGTCCCCTGGGCCTTCTGCCGGTCAGATTTGCAAGGAACAGTTGCTTAGCCTTCCTTTCTGGAGGCATTCGCAACGCATGCCTAAGCCATCGCAGCTGTGACTTCTCAATCTGGCCCATAACAATATCTTAATTCATATACTGGTTTTGCTGAATTATCAATACTTCCTTCATATCCCGGCGTAGAAAGTTTTCCTCTATGTATTCCTTTCATTAGACTGTGTAACATACACTGCCGTTCTTGAACTAAATGTTTCACTCCCACTGATTTCGATTCGTATCCTCTCTTAACAGCCTGATGGTGCTTCGCTTGTCTTCGTCCTTTTCTTTTCTGTGCTTGTCCTCACGCAAATCAGAGATGCTCCTAGTTGAGACTATTGAATTATTTTTACCTCCTCTCTTTTATCGTATTGCCGGTTTCTCCTGTGTAATTGAGACCACCCATACAAAGCATGGTGTAGATCCAGCCTCGTTGTTAAAATTTTGACTCGATGGCTTTTATGTTCATCAGCTGGCGATGTAACCTGCAGACCTGAATATATGATCCGGGCGATCCTCTGCAGGTTTTTGCCCAGATTTTTGCATGTGGAACAACGAGCTTGATCACTTTCAATTCTGTCGTTTCTACTTATTCTAGATTGCTGACTGTTTCTTATATAACTTCCCTGAGATAATCGCTGTTTGTGAGAGCCCTCTGGATGTAAGCCAGTTTTTGGACGTAAATGTGCTTGATCTACTGGCTAGACCGTTTGTGATGTCCATCTTCAGGCACTACACGTACATAGAATTGAAATTCAGTAACTAAGAGGCATATGTGGGCTTGTGAAACATTTTGTGTAATGTGTCTCATCCTTTCTTGCAATTAGTGTGTCCAAGAAAGACACGGAATTGCTTTGTTGTATCGCAACCGTTCATAAGATATTTTCCGGACACAGGATGTTTAGCTGATTCAGAAATATGTCTTTATCATAGGTGACAAATATGTTATCATAGCTATTTCTGAAAAATATGATGGACCTTCCTATCAGTGATGATGAATAGCAATATTTCCAGATGTTCCACAAAGGATTCCGTCTGAAGTGGAGTCAGAGCGGAACCCATGGGAGAACCCATGGACTCAACTGTTAGCACTGTCTTTTTCGATAAATTTGCATCGCTCCTAATTTACTTTCTACGACTGGAATATGTCTTTGAGTGAATTAGCTGGAAAATGATTTCTCAGTTTCCCAGCTGACCGTCCTTACTGTTTCTTCGGCTTCCAGCGCACGAAGATACAATATGAGTTTGCTAAAGCTTCTGAGATTGAAATCATGTTGCTATCCTAAATTTAGCTGGGAACGAAGTGATTAAGCAAATTGTATAATCGAGGGCACAGTATAAATTATAATAGTATTAATATAGTAATAATTATTATAACCTCGAAGGTGAAGTTTTACCTGACTATGCAATTACATACTGTCTCATTGTGTTTTAGTATACATCCTGAAATTTAGCATTGAAGGAGTCATTCGTTA